CACCGTCCGGATATCCATATTATCGAACTCTTAGAGTAATTCGGACCTAAATTCTGTCCAGGGCAAATTATTCAGTTTGATTGATCAATCAGCTGTCCTGTCGTTTAAGAACAGGACTATAATATTCACCCACGCCGCTGGGTGTATAACATCTCAACAGAATCAATCCTCGCTCTGTCACTAAGTCCAGCGGGTTTCTCCCGTAGTATTATTACATATTGATAGGTGGACGGCTGATATCGAGAGACACGAGCGAGTGCCAACCTAAAGTCTGGGCGCGGTGTTGTGTCAATAGTATAGAGAAATTATTTACAGATGAACGAGGTAATTGTGTTTAGATTTGATTATCTGAACGAATTTAAAAAAACTGATAAAAAAGAAGTAATTTCTATTAAAAAGGAAGATCAAATGGTTGAACAAAGATGATGAAATTATATATGGATTTGAGATCTCAATTAGTAGCTAAAGATATTTCCTTGATAGACATAGCAAAAATTTGTAGTTGAACAATCTTACATCAAAATACCGAAGAATGGTTAGAACAATTTAATAAAGAACGTGAAAAATGTAATATTCTGAATAGAAGAGAATACAAATTTTAAGATTATTTCATGAAGAAGGCGCAAAGCAATAGTTCTAATTAGATAAAACATTCAGTGAAAAGTTGGTCGGGATGGTCTCAATTATTTTGAAGTCTATACGGATAAAAATTGGTCTAATATGCAGTTTGAATTAAATTTTAAATCTAATAGGATTTGTTAATGGATTGTGCATTAAACATAAAAGATTGTTACTAGAAATAAAGAAGTCCATGTCTGTTATATCCAGGATAAATTTAATTGTAGTTGATTTGCCAATTTATATTCAAAATAAATTAGATATAAAAGAGATTTTGAGTACATATGTATTTTTGAACTTCAATAGGGAAAACAATAGATAAGAAATATAATAATTTGAATATATATTTTGTAGAGGGAAAACTATGTTTTATGCGTGAAGCACTAATTAAGCCAGAGCGCTATCATTGTTGATATATTTAGAAGAAGAAAAATGTAAATTTCCCCAAAGTAAACCAAACTGAAATTAACAAACTAATGAAGATTGAATTGAATGAACACAAAAATTGGTTATCCGGTAAAATTTACTCCACTGGTAATGTTAAATTTATTAATTAATAAGAAAAAAATTGTAAAAGGTATATATGATAATGGTTCAAATGTAACAATAAATCATGATATTTTAAAACAATTTTTCTTAAGATATGGTCTAAAAATAGATATTTTAAAATTTCAAAAACATAAAAATATTATATTTTCATTTTTTTTTATTAAAGACAAATTATAAAAAACAGTAGCACACTATGGTCTTAGTAATGTAAGAATGTGGCATAGTCGAGACAAGTAAAGAAATTTACTGATTTTAAAAATCATAAATTCTTTAGGCATTTTCATAATGTCCAGAAAACAAAGGAAAAATTTTCAATCTTTGAGGGTATTTTCTTCAACTAGATAGCATTTTTGCTCTTTTGACATATCATTAAGAAACATCAGTTCTGTGAGAGNGAGACAAGTAAAGAAATTTACTGATTTTAAAAATCATAAATTCTTTAGGCATTTTCATAATGTCCAGAAAACAAAGGAAAAATTTTCAATCTTTGAGGGTATTTTCTTCAACTAGATAGCATTTTTGCTCTTTTGACATATCATTAAGAAACATCAGTTCTGTGAGAGCTGAGAAAAAGTAGTGACAGACAAAAAAAAAATAACAGTAAACATATCATAGTAAAATTAATACCTTCTCAGCTTCGCATCGAAGCTAAAAGAACATAAACTGAACATTAGTAAACATTAAATAATAAGAATCATCATATATAATATTCATCAAAATAATTGATGAGCACGGATAGAAAAAGGGAAGTAGTCCATTATCTCTTACACAAATGATCCAAAATATTAAAAACTTTCCAAGTCTTTCATCACATTCTCAATTATTGTCACTAATCTCTACATCTCTTGCACATGATTAATTTTCTCTCTATTTTCTCCTATTAACACTATACTATCAGTGAACAACTTACACAACGGTACATCTCCTTGTATTTCTCTAGTATTTCAATCAATATAGAAAATACATCAGAACTTTGGAGCACTCATAATTTTACATTGGTTATAGTCATGTCTATTCAAGACAAATTCTTATTTTTCGTACTTCAGTATTAAAACATGTTGATACCTTAGATCATAGAGGTTCTATAAAACATTTAAATGAACATATATGTCAATTTATTTTTAAAAATTCTATAGTAAGTATCCCAATAATTGTGATGAAAAATTGAATGAAATTTTTTTTTTTTTATTCGCATAGAACCTCTTTTTAAAGTACTTTTTAGTTATTTAAATAGTAATTTTTTAATAGTTTCTGATATTCATTCTATTGCCATATTCCATTCATAAATGATATAAATCCTGACTTCTAAAGAATAAAATTTTAGCCTAAAAATTAAATGCAAGAAAAAATATTTAAATAAAATGTAGATAAATCTAAGCTAACTCAATTACATATTCAAATAATAATACACTTATGTTGTAATAACTGAATAAATACACAATAAGTTCTAAAAATTACCAAATTAGTTATGAAGAGATCATCATCTTGAAACAATAATTATAAGTCTTCAGTTTCCTTAAAGATTTTTTATGAAAATAATACTTTATACTGTTTCTTTAAGTCACTAATTATAAAATCATCACTGTAATTGAAAGTATGACTACCATTATTTTTCAAAAATAATTTTATGTTAATAATTAATCTTAACATTTTCTCAATTTTCAAATTCATCTTTTTGATTTTTAAAATATAGTTTTATTTAACAATTGAATATGCAATCAAAACAAGTTTAACTACTACTGTAAAATAAATTAACATTACCATTACAATCAGTTGAACATCTATTGGTCATATCATTTCTTTGCGCTAACCGTTGGTACCGTCACATTAATAAAAAAATGCTAAAAATAAAATTAACTTACTTGACTTCATGCATTATATGTATACATAGACAAATATACGTGTAGAAAATACAATAGACGTATATGTATGTCTAAAAAAGTTTATAAACTTTAAAAATTTATTTAGGAAATTGACTAACAAACAATGATATTTTTTAAATTGTCGCACAACCATATTCCATAACGTAAACAATGTTAAAAAAAATGGCCGCTATTTTTAGGTTAGGTTACAGAATAGATGAAAATTTTCATGAATAAAATGGTGAATTTGTAAATCCTATAGGATATGATTTTTATTATTTTTTAATATGTAATTAAAACTATTTTAATTTCTAAACGAATCAATTTTGACAATAATTGTCAAAAATCATTGAGTTAGATGTCAGATCGACATTTGAGGCGTTTAGTGAATATTCAACTCCTTGAATATACTATAAAATCTACCATAAGTTACTTAACTAACTGAAATTACTAAATAATTATTGAATAATACTAGATCCTTTAAAATTTCGTCGAATTTCTAACTATAATGATTGTGTTTATACATCTTACCTATACACTTAAAAAAATTCAAAATTTATTTTTTGTTGGATTAGTTTATTAGTGGTGTTATAATAAAAATAATTTTCTAACCAATGAATTAAATATATTAATATAAAAAGAGTTTTTTCTTCAATATTCAATATTTCAATATATTACATATAGTGATGAAGTACATCCTATGCATTCTATTATTATGTCCTTTTAGAAATACAAACATTTTAAATTTTATTATCTATATTGTCTAATGAGAAAATGTTAACTTTTTAGTAAAAAAAACCACTTAAAGTGAGTTAGTTAAAGTGTTTAATTGCTATTTAGGTAAGATTTTTTCTTAACACTTCTCATTCTTTAATTTTATAAAAACGTTAAATATCTAAAATTTTATATTTCTTATTGGAAATAATAAACTAATTCTAGAAAACTTACACAATAAAAAATATCTTAAAAATTCCAGGAAAAAAATTGATTCTAATTATTTGCTGCAAAAACATACATGTTTTTAATTATTTTTTAACTGTACAAATAAAACATATAGTTTGACTATATTTTTTAATGTGTACAACTTACCATGATGAATAGTCAGCCTATTCTTCATATGAATTAATAAACCTAAATTCATTCAAATATGTGTATTATACAAATCATCAGATAAATAATGATCATGGTATTAATTTTTTATATTTAAACTTATTTTCTTATAGGAAAATTATGTAAACAATGACAGCCAAAAACTTAATCTACATTATCATGTAAGTTAAATTATCCAATGACTTATTAAAATTTAAAACCAATGTGTAATAACTTTTACTTGAACAATTAGCCCAACAAGTTAGGCTAATTAGTTATTTATGTTAAAAAACAGTTTTTAAAATAATTTTGTTTTTACATTTCAGCATTAGATCAAATTAATAATACTGATAGTGATCCACTAAACTGTCATCTATAAACTGGACCCATGAACATAATTGATGAACTGAAAGAATGGGCTCTTTCTTTTAATCTAAACCATAAACAACTTATTCAGAAAGTTAAAAAAACACAAATGTTTTAAAAATATACCCATTGATGCTAGAACATTATTATTTACCTCTAAGAAAACAGTCACCAGAATAGTTGAAACTAGTCTCTATCATCACTTTGGTCTAGAAATGGTATTTTTCAATTTTAAAAAGACTCAACATTTCTGTTTCGATAATGATGCGATTAATATAGAATTGTAATATAGAATGGTCTGCCAATTTTATATCATCATTCAGCCAACTATGACCAAATAAAGGATCAGTTGTTCTTATTTTTATTATTTTATTGCTGATGTGTCCAGCAAAAGTATATTGCTTACAAATCAAAAATCATACTGGCTACTCTTGCACAATATGTAAAGTAGAAGGTTCATTGAGGACATTGATGCGCCTCTACGTACTAATGATGAATTTGTACGTATTAAGTATAAGTTATCTTGAAAGGTTCTTGCTCTATAGACTTGCACAATTATTTTTAATAGTAAATTAAATTATCTAAAATTAAATGTATTTTTGAGATGTCCAAAAAAAAATTTAGAAACACACCACTATCACACACATACAACTGGAACAAAAAATTTGAGTAAATAATGCAGTTAATTTAATTTTAAATTAACTGTAAATTAATTTTTAATTTAAATTTTTTAATGAAAATTAAAAACCTTGAAATAATACATCAATTTGCTTTAAAAAACAGTAAAAATGATTTGTGTCTAGTTTCCTCTAATTTATGTTTATTTGCATTTTCTGGAATTATAAAATGTAGAAAAGTTACAGAATATATTATTCATTTAATAATTTTATTAATACTAATAAAATTATTAATAGTTATTGGCTATAAAAAAAAATTAACATATGGTATATAAATATATTTATAAATCAACAGTTTTTATTATCATTTTAATATTTTATTTGATAAGCTAAATAAGTGCATTTATTTTAACTAAAATAATTTTAAAAAGTGATATTTTTATCCGAAATATGAATTTTTTAAGAAGATTTAAAAGTAAATATGTTTCCTTGAATTTCAATATGATTATTTTTATCGGATTAAAATACGTTAAACATAAATTTTGTTTTTCAGGAGGAACATACAAGTGCTTACGAAAAATAATTCCATGCTTAAGCAAACCCAAAGGTATAGAAACATTGTATTTTTAAGATTTTATTGTTTTAATCCCCAAATGCTAGCACCCATCTTTTTGGATTTCATATAGTTGTCAGTTCTTGGTTTATAGTCCATTTATTACGTGTTAAGATCTCAACTTTTTAGGGGATGTTATTTGGAAAACAGGTTTGATACTGTCTCATGGATATCCTAGTATAATCTCTTTTAGTATCGTACAGTGTTNGAGGCTACTATAATTGTTCATCACTTAATGTTACCACAAAAGTCTAACATATGTTGTTAAGAAAGGTTTTTATTTTATCATTAACCAAAATACAAGATCTTAATATGTTTACCACAAAACTATTCGTAAGGTTGTTGTATGCCTCTCAATGAGGGTCTTTGGCATACACTATTGCTCCCTTTATTGTGATGTAAAATTATCTGCGTGAATTGTATTCATAAATAATTACAATAAAGACTTTCTAACATTACCTGGTACCCAACCTCTTAATGTAACAACCACTCATCTTTTGTACTGTTGTTGAAGACTAAGTGGTTGTTACATTAAGAGGTTGAACAGATCCAAATCAACAATCCATTATTATAATTTCTGACTCAAAAATAAATTTATTAGATCAAAATGGTATGCATATGTTCAATGGCAATCTAGATCAGAGACCGAACAATCTAAATAGCCAAACAGACAACAATCCTCAAGAAATTGAAAATTTAGATACCAAGAAAGAAATGAAAACATCCCCTGATGGTTTGTATTAGAGATATTCCGAGTAGTAGTATTAATGTTTATAGATTACGTCAATTACTGCACATGCACTCAGATCTTTAGATCAAATATGCGCATCTCCTCCTATCAAATTATATTAATTTGGTTTTTTCATATAAATGTTTCCACCAAAGTATTCTTGCTATTGTTAAACACCTAAGACTATAGGGCCTGTCTCTCTAGCAAAATTTAGTATCTCTTTGGGTTTTAGGTTTTTGATATCTTCTTTTTCAAGAAAAGATTTTTCCAAATGTTTAGATCTTAATGTGGCCATGGTATCTGTCACGTTATTATAATGCTCATTCATTATCTCCCTCTCATATTAGACCCGTCTGCATTCCATTCTCTTATCACAAGACGAATATTATTTAGTGTACAGGGTAATTGTGCCCTACATTCCAGCACAATACCTTATAGTAAACATTCACCATTCAATTAATTTGATCAGCTGTTCAGCTAGTACATAGTGTAGTGAGTTATAATTATTAAGTGAGTGTTATTTTATGGTAGAAATAATAAATAGGTACAATTAGACTTTCTATGACAATTAATTTATTATATTTATATAGTGGAAATGGTGAATGCTCCATTGTCTGACACCGGCGAATTTACAATGAGCAGTAAAGACTTATCCGGCACCCAACCTATTAATTTAACAATAAACTCATTAGATCAAAATGGTATGCAAATGTCCAATGGCCTACTAGATGAGAGTCCGAACAATCTAAATAGCCAAACAGACAACAATCCTCAAGAAAATGAAAATTTAGATATTATGAAAGAAATGAAAACATCTCCTGATGGTACTTATTAGATATGATCCAAATAGTAGTTTTAGTTGTTATAGATTTGGACAAGTACTGCCTATGCACTCAGACTTTTGGGTCAAATATGTGCATCTCCTCCTATCAAATTATGTTAATTCGGTTTCCTTACATAAATGTTTCTACCCAAGTATTCTTGAACACCTAAATGAATTGTATTATATTGTCAGAGAATCTGATGCTAACATTTATATAGACACTTAAAATCCTACATTCCTTATTCAGCATTGTCCCAAGATTTTTTTTTGTTGACATTTTCATTTAGCCACTTACGAGATATCTCTTGGGCTGTACTGATCATAAGTGCTATCTTTTGGCTAATTACTCTGTGATAAGTGAGCAACATTTTCACTAGGTATGGCTGAGTTAGGGGGTCTGTTCACTGCTAGGAAGCACATATGCCCAGGCCTACTGGTCCCAATCTACCAAAGACATGACCAACTAAAAGCAGTGGTACATATGGCCATCTTCATTGAGTTAACTTGCCCCTTTGGTTGTTAAGATTAAAATCTTCACATATACCGCTGTAGGAAATACTGTATTTAGTTTTAGTTGTTATTCAAACAGTTTTAGTTTTTGATATCTTCTTTTTTTACGGAAAATGTTTACCTCGTGGTAAATATTCACCATTCAATTCATTTGATCAGCTGTTCAGTAGTGAGTTATAATCATTAAGTTAGAATGGTATTTTATGGTAAAAATAATAAATAGATACAATCAGGCTTTCTATTATAATTATTTAATTAATTAATTATATTTATATAGTGGAAATGGTGAAAGCTCCATTGTCTGACACCGGCGAATTTACAATGAGCAGTAAAGACTTATCCGGCACCCAACCTCTTGATGTTACAATAAACTCATTAGATCAAAATGGTATGCAAATGTCCAATGGCCTACTAGATGAGAGTCCGAACAATCTAAATAGCCAAACAGACAACAATCCTCAAGAAAATGAAAATTTAGATATTATGAAAGAAATGAAAACATCCCCTGATGGTACGTATTAGATATGATCCAAATAGTAGTTTTAGTTGTTATAGAGTAGGGCAAGAACTGCACATGCATTCAGACCTATATAAGTCCAATGTGCACAACTCCTACAGAAATTATATTAATTTTGTTTCTTCACATAAATGTTTCCAACAAAGTATTATTTTTTATTGTTGAATACCTAAGACTATTTATAAGACGTCCTACGAGGATACCACCTATATATATATATATATATATATATATTCAAAGAGTCCTGTCTCAACAAAATTAAGTAACTCTTTGGGTTTTCGATATCTTCTTTTTTGGGAAAAGATTTTTTCAAATGTTTAGACCTTAATGTGGCCAGGGTATCACATTCACACATAAAGTGAAATATATCTTACTCTTTTGTTCCACACTTCCTGCACAGTGGTAATTCTGTCACTCCCATTGTTCAAGCAAAAATGTATATAGTGTATATATGTCTATGTAAATAAGTTGTTTTCGTTATTGTTGTCTATCGAGTTTACTCCCTTCCTTTTTCGTTGTTGTTATTGTAAATATCTATTTTAATTGTTTGTTTGTGTCGTTTTATCGGCAACTAATGCCTTTGTACATACTGCACTGTCCATGGGAAAATTGTTTTTCCATTATTATCGTTGTTGTGTGTTGTTCATGTTATTCGGCAACTGCTGCCAAGTATTGATATTTTCTTTTTTGTTGTACTTAAAGTTAAATTCATTTAATTTAATTTATAAGTTTCTTTTGCTGCTTATGCAATTTATTCTTGTAATAGTATTTAATAGTACTTGTAATAGTACTTTTGATTACAAATAAAAATATTAAATTTTTATTCTATATACAACTATTGATTTCTTTTGATGAACCAACCGTACGTCTTCTCACAGGTATGAGGTTATATTAAAGACAAAATAATTGTTCTTTTTTTGGTAAATTAATTATCGAGCATTGCGCTCATTCACCCATTGTGCAATGATGTTTAATAAGTAGATGATCATGTCATTATATATTATTTATATAATATTTAGTTTTGTAATTCCATATTTTTATAATTATATTTACATAAAAAAAGCTAGTATTTTTAAGTTTCATGACTCTTATTTAGGGGACAAATCTGAATTTGAAGATGTTTTAGATAATAACACATTGAATTCCAATAAACTGCTGAGTAAAGGTGATGGTACAAAAGTATGTGATTTAAAACAAGAAACTTTTGATATCGAAAACAACAATGATTTAAATGTGGTAAGGAGATAGTGTAGTAGAAGGGTTTTTAATATTAATATTGTTTTTACATATTACTCTTAATATTTATAATGATTTACTATGCACAATGTCAATAGAGCATGCCCAATGACCTATGGTGTTTGCAAAAAGTATGTTTTAGATTAATATTAGAGAGATATTATTCCTATTGTAGTAGATGAATCATTAACTTTATTAGATAAGATTACACATACAATATACATTATATAACATGTATACAGATATAACACTTTTCCCCTTTTATATTACATTCTATATAATTACAATACAATAATAATAATTATACAAAAAAAGAACACAATTTAACATTATATAAATTCATCAAACCCATATTGGTATAGTTTTTTAATAGCTATTTAATTTTTTTATATTAATCAAATAGTGATTGTTACTGTTGACGGTGTACTATTATAAGTATTTATAAATCATAATATTTTTTCTTTCATAAATAGTATTTTTTTACTGTTTGAACACCCCTTTTTGCTTTTGAACCCTCTCATAAGGGTTAATTATCTTTGACCATTTAGATGTTACTACCTCTTTTGGTACGTTACATTTTGAGTTTGTGTGTATATTTTACACCCTTATACTGGTTTTTCAATATCATAGCAATATTTCTCTATCAAAGTGGTGCTCCTCTTGCCTCCATTTTTATTCTTACAATACTATTATGATTTTTATTTAATAGTTTTAGTACTTTTTCTTTTAGACATTCTGGTATTATTTTTAAACCCTAATTAATTTTTCATTTGAAAATGATATTTTCATTTTTCTAACTGTCCTTTTCAACCAATTTTTAATATTTTTTCGGTTTATTGAAGGTACTTAAAGTTCAGTAACTATAGTTGGACTAAAGATTTTTTTAAATGTATTTAAGCCTGAACATATTGCAAATGTATTTCCATTATTTTTTATTTTTTTATACAACATAGTATAGATAAAGCTTCACTTTGTAATTGTGAGTAGTTTTTTTTACTGCTGGGTGGTAGTGTACTAGATGAAAAAAATATAGG